CCAAGTATTTTGATGCACTGAGGCGATGAAATTGCACGCTTGTCGTCGCCGATAGCGGAAAGATGTCAACCTTACACCCGAGCTCATTGGGTTCTTCCAGAGTTTGGGTTGATTGGGATAAGATGAGCTGTTGTTTATGGTGGTAAACCCATTGTTCATAACGTTTCCGTGAATGAAATGAAGGACGAATTTTGAAGACTGTTTGCTATTCATTGTTAAAAACATTAGTGCTTGTCGCTGGTGTAGTTTCCTAAGCACTAATGAGAGCTGCTAATTTTCATGAGAACCAGCGTTCGTTGGAATTTGCAGTCGAACGGACAACTGACCAACCTTGTGTGAGAAATCTGCGTTCGCCCTCACCGGTTTGGAGTGTATGGTTGAGCTGGGTCATCTGGGGGCGATTCGAGGACACAAAGTACATAAATAAAGACAGCATAAAATCTGGACAAGAGCGGCCTGTTGTCCAGTGTGGCACCGAGTTGGGACGTTACAAATAATAGCGTGGAAACAAATCCCTTGAATCTAATAAGGGTTTAGTTTGCAAACAAATGTGGTTTTGCAAGGGACTAATCGGGAACCCAGCTGTATCTCACGCTTATGATGTCTTTTTATTTTACTGGACCGGAGCTTAGATACTGAGCAAAGGATGGGTAATCGACAACTTAGTAAACCAGGAAGACTTGGGTGAGGGAAGTTGTGGAAGAAACGGTAATGGCCATGACCGAATGGGACCCAATAGGCCCAGCTGTCCTCTGACATCACACTATCCATTATTTACAAAAATTTTCACTTTTGGTTTACACAACTGTAATTGGTACATCTTGGTTACATCATTAAATATATTCAAAAACTATATTCATTCATGCTAGAAAGTTGGCATACGAGAAGCTTTATTTCTAGAATATTTTGCCTTGAAAATTTAGTTAGTGTCAGCTCTCTAATCTCTCTAATCTAAAGGTCTGTCAACAGGGCGTGTGGGCGCTTGACCAAAAAGGACAGGACCATTCTGATTCCTAGTCCAAACTAATGTTAGTCCAGGAAGTCTTGTTTTTTTACAAAAAGGCAACGGCGCACGCCGTACAAAATTACGCCTCTGAAGTGCCTAAACACCAACAAATTATATGGTGATTACGCTTGTTCGTCGGTTGGATTGCCGTCATGCGCGGGGCCCCTCAGTTAAGTCAGATCACTGCAACCAGGCCTTTGTGCCACGGCATCCTGGATTTCTGCCAACGATACAGGATGCAATCTATGTAGCACTCCAGCTGTGTTCGGGTTTCAAAAACTTGAGGAAATCCGGGAAAATCCCATCCGTCCTGTGTTATTTAGACAGCTTAGGAGGAAACACGGCAAGTTTTACGAAGACGTAAAGCACGGAAGGCTAATTGTGCTGTAGGGATAGGGCGATTACAGTCCAGTTCAGTTTAGTTTGATGATGTTGAAGAGCTTTAATAGGAGTGAAACTCGAGTTCAGTGCCTCCCCTCTTTAGTGTAGACTCACCGAAATGACTGTGGTAGGACAAGAGGACGACTGTTAAACGAGAGTCATGTGAGTATGTACCCTACAAAATCCCGCAACCACCATAACCTGCGAGGGAAACCATACCTCTATTGACGTAAAAAAGCAATTGGGAAATAACGTTACCTCTTCAAATTATACTGACGGTAGTCTAGTAAGTCTCTTAATTCAGTGCCAACTTATTAGCTTCTGTACAGCGTACTCCGAGATTTTGAGATTTTGAGCAATTCCCCCACTGCCACTTTCCGCCTTCTCGTTAAATTCTTCATAACTCCACACAGAAAAATCAGTGAAAGTGAGTGGCCTGTCCGCCCATTTCACTCTTCGATGCCAGCTCATTGACAGCTCTTCACAATTCCAAAAAACCATCTATCCGTTACGGGCCGTACTCCAACGGAAGTTGCGCTGAAGCGATGTGCATGCTCATGCGTTGTGAGCACACTCCTCTTCACTCCTCAACATAGGGCCAACATATCTTACACAGACAGCGCCAGAACAAAAGCTTGTTCCAGCTCCATTGTCGTATGAAATGCTTGTGCGACTGATTTGTACCAGCTCTGTTTTGCTCAATGGTCTGCCTAGCACACTGAGCGAGATCTCAAACCACCGTTAATTTTCCAAGCTGCTGTCATGCAATTAACAGAACGCTCGCCTCAGCTTGATTGAGATCCAGCAAGATGTGGTCTGTTAGCTGACTTTGATCACGTGTAAAAATGCGCTGAATTCTGCGTTTCAACAGGTAATCGGCGTTTGACGACGGACAACCCGTTGGGTTTCATGTTGTCCGAAGTCACGCATTGTGCGGCATTTGCCTTGCGAGCACGGGTAATTTTTCACAGAAAGAAAACATTCCGGTCAAAAACAGCCTGGATCTCTATATGATGGCAGCTGCTTTCATCTTGCAAACATTCATTCTGGCAATGAACAAATTATATTAGGTGCCCGCGTTTGTCTGGCAGCAAGAGGTGTTGAGAAAAGATCAGTCAAGCTAAAGGTTTTTTGCATCTGTCTCAAAATAATTTTGTGTAACAAGCTAGCTTTTTGTCACAAACTGTTATTATTAGGGCTGTGTGATGTGTGAATAGCCGCAGTTGTCCCTACATCATCACAATATATTCTTGCGCATCAGACAAAAAGACGCTCGTATTTGCGGGGTCAGTGAGCTGCCAGTGAATGCAAGTCAGGTGTTGCTAGGTTACGCTATGCGTATATTCCGGAAAAATTATATGGCCCGTTCAATTTAGATGCATAATTCTGTATGCGACTGAAACTCGCAAATTTGTGGTGCTATTGCAAGATTGGTTTACAGAAAACACAACATTTCCAACCGCATATGAGATCCTTGAAAAAGGTTGCCCATGGTAACTAAAATGTCGGAGTGTAACACCTTATTTCAGTAGGCCGTCTTTTAACTTTAAACTTTCCATAGAAGTAAAATACGGTTGGAATGCTACTACAATTAAGTAGTTCTGTGGTTCTGGTGATCTGAGTGAGTGATCACACTGTTCTGATGAGAAAAACTAGGATCAAAATGACATTTACTTGATGGGTGTAAGATCGACTCACATGGGAATAAAATGCGGTCACCTCCAGATATCTTACAAAATACCACGGGTAAACTGAGGTTACGACGAGACCACAAGGAATGATGCAGCTGTTCAGATAAACAACTTTGTTTGTTATCTCAATCGGATCATCCGCAAGCAGGAAGTTGGTGTTCCAGCTTACCCAATCTTGGAGAAGGACTTTCCGCTTTGCAGGCCGAAGCGTGCATGCCGAAACGTGAGTTGTCTTAATCAGATAATCCAAGTGGATAATTTCTTACATTTTGGCCGCTGCAGCCAAAAGGAACACCAAGTTTGAAACATGAAATTTTACCTTCACTAAATTGCTGTCGTTTCAGCGAAATACACTCAGTTGCAAATTGTCGTTTCAGCTATCAGGAACTGCCAGTTGCTATGACTCATTCCAGAACTGGTAAAGGTTTGAAGCACATTTGGGTGTACAAGTCTCTCCATCTAAGACCAAGTAAGAATGGTTAGTGCTGATTGCGATCGTCTAACTTCCAGTCTAGACCATTCAAACGAGCAACCTAAATGCACTCTTTGCCAGCTGTAAAAATGAATATTTTCTTCCTGGGGTTTTATGGCTTGAAATTCCAGAGACTCCGGGTTTTGTTACGCTGTATTTTTGTGGCATTATGAAAATGCTACAAGTGCTCTTTGTGTTCTTCAGACTGACCAGTATCACTCTTAGTATCATGCCTCTGGGGACGACAAATATTTATAACGTTTCTACAGGTTCGGACTTAATTTATTAGGACTTGCATAAAAGCGATTTGATGACGTTTTCCATAATGACTGGCACCGTCTCCCTCCGATGCTAGATAGATAAGCTAAGCAAATAACGCAAAACTAACAAATACAGATAAGCCTGGATAGATTGGAGGAAACAAAAACTTTTGTTTGAAAAGGAAAATAAGCATGCAATGGCAAAACGTGACTATCTTTAGACACAAGACACGTCTTTTTAACTTTTCTCACATGAATCACAGAGGTAACATCACAGGTAAAACATACATAAAATCTGTCTTAAAAATTCACCGTATGGAAACCAATAATTTCTTAGATCGTCAAACACAGGTAACGAGGTGACTCAAATACATATTCGATTGTGCACTACTGAAATAAAAACAGATAGGTTCAATAGTAACATACCGACGACAAAACTGAAGATTCATTCGTTATTAACTTGGTCTTTTCCTATACAAAGCTATTCGAACAATAGTCACAGGTTTTACCTAAAAGAATCGCGCCAGGCATCCAACCAAACGTAGCTGCTAGAAGACATTCTAGCTTCCCTATTTAACTGAAACCTACAATAGGTTTCAAGTTAAAATATTCGGCAGATTCCCAAAAACAACCAAGCCAAATCTATTGCAGGTGAGGAATATTTTCAAGCCAGTGATATTCATAGAACGCCACGTCCTTGATTTCAGTATTAACTGAACTGATTGCTGCTAACTCAGTTACCGCATTACTGTATTGCGTTATATTGCACCATATTGCATTGTTCTTGTGTTCTCCTTGATAAATAGACACATTTATAACTCAACCATGTTTTCATAAGACGAGAAGCTACTTCCTTTTTTCATGTATCGAAGTTTAGATGTCATAGTGCACAAGAACTTGCAGGCTCATTTGTACTGTCATCTCGCGGCATGTTCTATGGAAGAATGGCTTGTCCCAAGTATTTTTACTGCCTGGTTAGCCCGGCATGGATACACTTAGCGTAAGCAAGTACAACCCCCCAAAACTAACACAGGTAGGTAGGGGAAATAGTATTCGCTGGAAACCAAGCTTCAGACTTGTAAAGCAAAGGAGATTTCCTTACCGCAAATTGCCGCATAATAAAAAGTGACCTTTTTAAGAGCTTTATAAATCATGATTTCCTTATTGGTTTCACCCGTCTACTTCAATAGGTACTGGACAAAAGTTCCGGTTTTGTGAATCCCTTGAATGACACAATTCTGGTTGAAATAATGTGGGTGTACAAGCACATTGTCTTTCTGGAGAGGACGCAAACAATAGATGCGATCAATCAGCGTCAATACATTCAAATGCGGTGAGTAATTTTATATTACTTTGTTTTATTCTTAAGAAATTCTTACTACAAAAAGAACCAGTACATCGAATCCCTGGGCCAGCGTTGTAAGATACGTCATACTCAGTGATCACAGTGAAGGACAGGACAGTGTCGTAACCTCCACCTAAGAAGCCCTTTTGAGACTTTCTTGGGTGGCTTACTTTATGTGTCTTTAGAGTGTGCTTGTGTTTCGCACATATTCGTTTACCAGTCTGAAGTGGATCACACACTCATAACACTCATAACTCACTCATAACAGAGTGAGTTTTGAAGTTTACACCCATTCTAATGAAAGTCCGGATAGTCTACATACTTCATAGTGCTGCTGTTTTTTGCCTTGTCATTTTTTCGAAGTTTACTGACGTATAATGCACAATCGTTGGACCATGGTTTACAAAATTAAATTGATGGGGTGGCTAGAGCGTCAAAACACAGTGTTTAGCGCATATTATCCGAGGACAGTCTATCCCCCCTCGGCCTGATCTTGTTCTAACTGGTTTTTCCTGGATGTCTGGTGACACAATAGAAACGCCACCGTTGCGTTATTAGTTGTCGGAAAACAAGCTGACATGGTAAATTCAGACTCTCCCACTTTACACACCACTGTATAGAAAGCTTTATTGTGCAAGAGCAATCTCGTTTCTGCAACACTGCTCTATTAAGTACTTACGAGAATGGTCTTTGGGATGCGTCATTTTGATATAATATGGGTAAGCTTCGGTATGATGCACTTGCGCTTGGTCTGTGAGTGTTATCCTATAGAAACCGTGGCAAAATATTAACCCTCTGGCGGTGCAAAGACCACAACGAAGGCAAGTTGGGAAATGCCTCACATACAACGTTATCCAACGCATCTAATTATGAAAGAATACCAGATTCTGAAGCGTGACAACAAAAATCCTGGAAACACGATTTCATAATATAACTGACTTTCTGAACCTGGTCTCCGGAATAAGATGTTGCATTTACTTTCTCATTTACGAACACAAGCAATTTATACCTGGCCGACAAAATTTCTCAAAACCGGGAGTCTCAGTTGGTTCAGGGCTCGCCGCGTTGGACTAAAGGCTAAGCCGATCTTTTGGGTTAATCTGGCGTACAAAAAGTCATCGAGTTGTGTTTTTCTTGACTAAACTCAGGCGAAAGTTATCACTTTTCGCCGGTTATAGATACGTCAAGCACTCTTCTGCTGCTCACGTTTGTAGAAGCGTAACCCAACATTTGGATTCAACAGGATGGTGCTCACCTACAGAACGCGTAGTGTGAGAGCGAAACGTCAAAGAATAAGAGGGCTAGCCGAGGAAAGTCAATTAAACGAAAGCTTTCGGGATTTATGCTTAAATGTCGAGTGTAGTATAAGTACAAAGGTACTATGAACAAAATTGCGGCTAGATTTTTATAGAGGATTCTGTTGTGCATTTGCATTTATGAGAAGCATTTTGTTTTTGGTACATCATTTTGGCAATATATCAATCATTCAAGAGAAGCTTTCACATGAAAAACTCCAAAACATACGTAGGAAGACCGCTTAGAGTGTTATAAGTGTCACTCTGGGGGCATAACCTAATTTTCCAAGAAATTTGTTCATATAAATCAGAGTTACGACGAGTAAAATTGCAACACAGTGGTTTATCTTTATTATTTCCTATGATTTTCGGCAATTTTCATTGCTTATTCCAAAGTCACCAGTGGTCCACATCCGGCTAAAGGCACAGTCATTGGTTTGAATGGTTTCTTACGTTCTGATTTCCAACCATGAAATGCAGTCTTTGGTCTTTGTGAAAGGCCACACGGAGTACCAACTGATGAATAAATGGGTAGTGGAGTAGCGCACTTTCCACGCGCCAAATCCACTAACCGAGCTAAACAGGCCCAGCTGATCGATATTATCCAATCAGTAAAGATCTTGCTAAATAACTGGTCCAATTTGTGTAGGAGAAAATGGGCCACAAAACCAAGGCCCGTTGAGCGCACCTCACCAAGCGTATTTTGAGGCTTTTCTATAATTTATACTCCCAAGCCACCCAATTTGTTTTGCGAACAAACTCTCAAGTGTCACATCAACTACGAGGCCTTATTTAGCCTTGTGGATGCAAGATGTATTTTCAAATCTCGGGAAATGTTCACAGACTGACAATCGTCTAACGGTGATCCAATGCAGGTTAGTGTCCCACGGGCTCGCTGAAAGTGTGGTATCCATAAGGGCGCACAAGAGCGGACAGGGGGTGTTCATCTAAGCCAAAACGTGTGTATAACAACTTTTAAAAAACAAAGTGCATTTAATGGGGATTGTTAGCTTAGAGTTATTGTGGGCATCTTATGAACATGCAGAATTTTTGAATGTGCTATATTTCATAACTCGAGTCATCTTCGGCATCAAACTAAGCTTCAAGCTTCTTTTTGACTTTTCAATAAGGTCAAGGAATGACAGATCAAAGTAGAAGATCAATACATGTTTTAAATCATCTGGGATAGAAGCGATATTTTTATGTTACCGAGCCTGTGTGTGAGATTGCATCAGTAGTCCAACTATCGGGATAGAAGCGAACCTTTTTTGTTACCGAGCCTGTGTGTGAGACTGCATCAGTAGTCCGCATTTCAGTCTATACAAAAACCGGGATTTCTGGTTTTGACATGCCTGGATGACAGGGAAATATGAACAGACTCTGATGAAAATTTAGATCAGCAGGCAAGATAATGTTCGTGTCAAACTTCACAGCAGAGTTTCGGCACTATTTGGCTAAACACGGACGAATATAATCGATTAATTATTGATAAAAACAGTGGGTTATATTTTCGTTTTGTGAAATTGAACCCGTTGCGATTAGCTATTCATTCACATTATAGCTAACCTGAGGCAGTAACTCAAATTTCGGACATCTATCAACACATGTCGTGACCGATCTTTAAGCGATCTGTGATAAGAACATAAGAAAACCCCCGATATAAAAATGTTTAGTGTAGAGTGAATAGGGTTAAATGCTTGTTGTGAAACTGCATTTGGCATTGCATGTCCGTGATAGATGCCTTGAGTAAACTTGTCATACCGCTTTTGATTGTGGGCAGATTCTCTTTTCAAACCTTCCACAAGTTTCAAAAACGAAAATTCAGTTAACCGTCGACTAACCAGCGTATGATCTAACGAAATCGCAATATCTTTGCGATACTCACAAAGATCATATCAAAGTATGCTATAAATAAGGACATTATAGCTGCTGCATCCGCGAATGTGACGCACTGTAAGTTCTGTTATTTCAAGTTAATCGTTTTCAGGTCCGTGTACTCACAACATATTCCAGCAGAAAAACTGATGCACTACTTGTAAGGACGAACCAAACCAAAGTTATTACAATTTGGGACCCACCAACGCTCTTATCTCTCGATGACAACAATGAGAAAAATGTTGATTATTTTCAGTAACATGAAGCGGACGATGCAGTCTATCATGCACAACTCACAATGGGTCATCAGTACAAATTGTTTTAGCCATTTCTTGGATCTTGCGAATAAGAAGCTGTAGCACATTTGATGAAAACATTGCATTAGGCAAAAGTGTGGTGCATCCTTCTACCGCATCTGAAGACTATATGAAAGGCTAAGTGCAGGCTGACAATTCGGCAGTAGTGGATTGAATCAAGAGAAATTTGGCAAAGTAATTGGAGTAGCCACCCGATTTGAGGCCCGCTTAATTACACTTGGGAAACAATAAAACAGAGTCTGCGACAAAGTGCCTCTAATTCTCAAGCGGTCACATAAATCCGTTGATTCATTCTAAGAAGCCAAATACAACAATGCATCAAACGCGCACAAACGATTGGCTTTTAGTCAGTTCTGGGATGAAATCGTTACTCAACCACTATGGGTAACACCAAGTAAAGCGACGAAGAAATCAAAGCGATCAAAGCTCTATCGACTAGAAACAGGTAACATTTGACTTTGTTAGACCGTAGTCTCCTTAACATTAGAAGCTGTAACATGTATACCATTTAGCAAATTGAATTCTAGTTAATGGAACGATAAATGCTGAGTTATTCTGTATGATTCGGATCTTATGTTTGATCGTTTTATCATAGACGTCTACACGACATCAGTACAAAGTACAACATTCTAGATACTTTCGTGACGGCACATACTAATTGTTAGGCTATAGAAAAGCTTCGACAACCCAGTTGTCGTTTAGCCAAATGGTCGTAGTCCTCGAATTTCCAATTGTAAGTCATTTAGGTGAGACACTCAGCTGTAACTGGAGTTGGTGTAAACGGGGCATCAAATGAATCTCAGCTGAACGTCTCTGTTAGGACGATGTTCAGATGTATCATTTAGTACCATAGTCAAGCCACTGAAGTTTACCTCTCTGATGTAGCACACAGCTTAAAAGGCTGCTAAAACTCTTCAACAAATACTGCCGGTTTCACTTTTCTTGAATTTAATCATACATGTCCGGTCCTCAAAGAATATTACCGATTGATCGTACAGCACATTTATTTACGGTACGGCACAGCTGGAATTGAGTGGGACCGTTAGGCGGAAGGAAATGTCATCAAGACTACCGAAAATCCAGTGTATGGCTTTGTGTTCTTTCAATGTAGCCAATACTGCCAACGTGCTTGGCAGTAGAGACAAAAGTCTCCAGTAAAGTGACGAAATACTTAAAAGAGCTGCTTATTCTTTAGTATGTAAAAAAATGCAAACCGTGTTTAAAGACGACTGTCGAAACCCACCGCAGCTATTGACTTGAAGATGCGCAAACAGAACCATTTCCGCAGCCAGCTTTATGAAGTATCACAATTCCTTCCTTCGGCTAAAAGGCTAAAATTAGGGAGCGCCTACCGTATGAACTTTCGGACAGAGCAAAAGTGAGTCGTGCTAAGAAAAATACATTTTTAACTTCACAATGAAGCGTGGTCAACCATCAGTGTCTGAGTGGCAGGTGTAGTGTAATCTGTCGCAGTTGGTAGAAATTTGTTGACGTATCTATCAAATTTACTTTTACGTTACATTTACGATGAAACTGTACCAAAGCAAATCTTCTTCTGTGAATAGAAATGAACTTGAACAAATCAGAAAGGAGAGGGACGAACTTGAAAAACAAGTGGTGATCAAGGAAATGGGATTAGTTCAAGTCGACGCCAAAGCATGTGGACCAAGAAGTCTTTTGCCTAAAGAAGCTCTATATAATCTGAAGCCCCTTTCTGATCTGTCCGTTCAATCCAGGAGCAACCGTTCTGCGGTTTCCGATAATGACATTTCAGGGAATCGACAATTACAAAAATTAAGCACCGATTCAGTTGATGATTATTCCGAGAACTTTGGGTCGCGAACTTCTCTTCCAATGAGCCGCAAGGAACCAATTGGAGGTAGAGGCCAAAACTCGCCGCGGTGCGATTTTCATTCGAAACCTAGACGGGCAGCGGCGACCCAGCTATTCAGACATTCTGGGCAACAGTCGTTTGATTATGCTCAAAATATGTATGAAAACATTTCAAGGACGAGCAACACAGCTTGTGCCACACCTGAGTACAATCATTCTGGGTGAGCTCAGAGCCAAATTAGCCAATTCTTTTTATATTCGATTTAGCTGGTTTACATTAGTTTATACTCCGAATAATGCCATATAATATGTTCTTTGAGATTGTTAAAGATTACCTCTGGCTCATCCAAACAACTTTATGACGTGTTGAGCCATTTTGTTCGCTAGACTTGTGAACAAATACCATGTTTTCTGTTACTGTTAAACTCATAAAAACATTTTGCAGTATGCAGTTTAGTTGTATGTTCGTAAGCAAAGGAAATGATTCCACTATTTATTTCACAAATGTCACTAGAAAATATTCATCTCAGACTTTCACATATGTTTATTCCTCATAAAACTAGTTTCTGGGGCAAGTTTTTATGGGTTTCATTAAACTGTGTAATTGCCCAAGACGTCCTTTTGTCAGCAGAATTAAACAACATTTCCCTAATCATTGTTGTTACTCCACTGATTGAGCATGCCTTTATTTCATGCATTCAGTGGTACTATTTAGTACGTGATATTTCGTAGTGCCTTGGTGATTGAGATTAACTTAGGTAAGATAGAAGAATGTGAGGGAAATGTAAGGGAATATCTTTCGTATAAATTAGCCCCAGGGAACAGCTAGGTAAACGTGCTAGAAAGAAGTTGGCCTTCAAAATATATTTACAGACTAAAATATATATATAAGATCACGGAAGTCAACTAGGCTGGGCCGTGATGTGTATGAAGACCGCTAAACGTCTGAGGTAAATGCGAACTGTGTGATAGGCGGTAGCCGGTAATGTGGTTTTTGATCTGTCCAGCGAGCTTTGAATTAACTTGCGCACGTTTCATTGCCATTCGGGAAGACACTATAAGTAGACGATTGGGAATTATTTCTTCTTGTTAGTCGAGTGGTTTTGTAGTTTGCAGAGAGCAGCTTCAAGATCTAAACTGGCTGGCTGTTCACAATCATTCCACTTGGATCTGGGTTTGTCCATTTGTGATCATTGTTGCGCCCAGCTCCAGCTCCCTTAGATTTCGATGGTTGATCGTATATTGTTTATTTTTAGAACTTAGCTACCTTCGATTTAACTGCTGTATGCCTCGAATTGTCGCCAGCTTTATGGGCTTATGTGTTGAATTTCACGATTTCAGTCTACAGAGATTTCATTATTTTGGCCCGTTCACTTCTGATGTTTGGAGCTGCACATTTCTATTCTGCTAACTTGCACACTGCGTCTGATGTCACTTCTTTTTGGTTTTGCTGATTTCTTGTTCAGCTCAAGGTTTGCTGGTACTGGATTTCATTCATCCTTATAGGTTGATAGATATGTTCGATCTATTTGCACTTGTTTAGTGCCATAACAATGGAAAACCGCGGTTCCATATATTCGCGTTTTTGCTTGAGTTTGATTGTTGGCATACGCCCTGCGTACAAGCTCTCGCTTGTTAGATGGCCAACAGAGAGGTAATCTGAACTGAACTTTTCAGCTACAACTGCCCGATGATTGCCCCAGGCATTGGATGAAACTTTGTTAGGACACAAAAAATATTCGGCTTAGTGGATCTCCTTTGTACAGGATCTTAGCGTCCTTCTTCCACAAACAATGCTCTACACTTCTCACAGAAAACCAAACCAAATCAAAAGAAGCATGCCTCTTCTTGTCTTTTTGCCTATTTCACATAAGCATCTGCTGATACACTGCATGAATCGTCAGTGAGATTAAGGGAAAAAGAGGCTCTTTTCAATCTGTCGATGCGAATACCTTGAAGAAACTGCCATGTGGCGCGAAAAATAATAGCACCAGGTTAGATGAGTGGCCAGAAGATAGCGCCTAATAGGGAAGAAGATTGATTGGAACAATTGTCCAGAGTTATCATCAAAATTACAGTCTGACTACAACAACCTACTGGTAACGCCAGACGGGGGACTGCAACCAGAAGACGGAGAATTATGCCACAGCTCCCTTCATATGTCAGACTTCAGTTATGAAAGTGTATCCGCAACAATTATAACGCCTCATGCCAACCTCAGGTCTTTTGTCAGAATTTAATATAAAATGGCCGTCGGATGTTGTTCAATTTAAACGAAACATTTAGCCGGGGGCTCTACTATGGGCTCAGCAACTAAGTTACCAAGCAAACAGTTGTGATAACAAGCTACTATATTTCAATCCAATCCATTTCAGCCATAGTTTGTACCCGATGAAAACCATCTTTTGGATATGTATATTTAAGTATATATAAGTATATATAGTGGGTTGTTGCTCTCATAAGGATTTCATTTAGTCGCCCAAATTGTTCAAGTTCTGGAAAACTTTACTAAGATTGAAGTAAAAATACCAATGTGGTTCAACCATAAAAAGTTAAGGCGAGTATCCTCCGTCCTAATAGAGCAAGCAGGAGGCTGAAAGCTGATTTCGGTGGGTGGATCGTCACAACAAAGCAGACATTTTGTTTCGCTAACTCTGTGAAGAGTTCAGAGAGTAACTGTTTTCATAACTCAGCTGGCGTTATGTTGCCCAATTTAGCTTTCATAACACAGCGTTGTCCTACAGCCTCAATCCCACACTCCATGAGGGCGTAAATCCTATTAATATGTCTGCCGCATTCTATTTATCCTAGCCTACCGGAACGTCGAAAACAATTCTACAAATCAAGAACGATATGGCAAACCTATGACAGTTATCAAGGAGATCAACATGGTTTGATGAAAACTAGTCTACATACTCAGTCATCTAGTAGTTGGAGCACACCGGGCGATTCGAGAGGCAGACAAGTGGCAGAAAACGGAAGACTGCGAGTCAAACAAAGAAACTATCCATCTCGTACTGGCTACGTGGATCACGAACAAACTGATTATTTGTTTGGTTCATAACAAGTGTTCAAAATCTCTCTGGTTTCCAATATTTTCTCATTGCATCCACAGATCGATTCGGTTGACCATTATCACCCGTTTATGTCCACTCGTGCATATTCAATGTATTTTAAAAACGATGTTGTGACTTGGAATCAGGCCAGATTTTCAAGCCCTAATAGTTGTCTTTTCTGGAAAAATTCCAATAAGAGATCTGTCGTGAGTAGTTGGTTAAGCAAATTGTCTTCTTTTGTAAGAGAGTACTACTGGAATATATCTCAAGGCATAAAAACTGGTTTTCCACAAGGTATCTTCCCCTAAGGATGGAATTGTTTTATCTTTTATAAAAAAGAGTTTTACAAGTACCATGGTTTTGGTGCTTTTGCTGAATGACTTATGAAACGTTCTTTACTCGTAATAAACTACTCATAAGTTTGCCGAAAGTATTTGTACTGCCCACAACCAGTTTCGCCCTTCTTGGGGCTCATCGTTTAGGCGCAGTCCTCGAGTTTATGTCAACCTTATGCTCTACTTGAACTGAAATTTCACGAAATTGGCGGAATAAACTCATTTCAAACCAATTCGGTTTGATGGGAGACAAACCTGGAACCCAGCTGATTCCCTCGTTTATGACATCTCGAATATCGCACCAACTGGAATATGAGGCAGACTGGTGTAGCACATTCAGCTGCTTGAAAACATCATAAACGAGAGTCCAGCTGGGTTCAGTTGAGTCTCCCGCAAAACCAAATTTATTTTTCAAAGAGTGTGTTTGATTTTTTACTCACTTTCAGCCAACAAATAACCCACATGAGCTCCAACTCATTCCAATCTATGGGTTGTGTACGGAGAAAGCCGTTGCTCGTCAATTCTAATGAGATCTGCATGTTTGGCAATGTGTACTTGTTAATAATGTAAATGGAAGTTTGGAGCGAGTCGTCGGAACTGTTTGAACTGCTGCGTCTCCAAGCAGGCAGGACCACGGCCCACTGACCCACCGTAGGCGTTCGCGTGTGACATCTTGGTCCATTTAGCTTATGAGGTAAATGCACCGTAATCCATGGATAATTTTCAGTGCATTTATTCAGTAGTAAGAATAGCTGTACCCGGATGGCCTTCATGAAACCCAGTCTATCTTCATTCTGTAAAAGTAAGCAGCTGGGTTGAAATAACCAATTGATTATTTTGTCCGACAAACTCGGTAGTGAATAGCAGTAGTGTGAACAATATGGAACAGAAAATCCCATGGGATTTTTTTGTCGATTGGGAGTTTTCACAAAAGGCTTTGGAAAACTCCACAGTTGACCTGGGACCTGAAGAAAAACGAATTTAGATAAAATCCTATGGATGTGCTCGAAGATAATTCTGGCAAATCTTTTACAGGAGAAAGTTTTTCTCTGGACAATTTTTTTAATCCGCAGTATTCATGGCAGATTTACTTCCCGTTCGAGCAGCAAAAAGGACTAGTTACAGCTTTTGTCAAGAGATAAAATTTAATGAGACCGATTGATAAAGCTAAGAAAATTTCACGAAACCCCACCCCTAACTTTAGAGTCATTTTGCACCCTCCTATGGGAATCTACGCAAATAAATGGAGTTGAATAGTCCGACCAACAACCATTCAGGAGTGAGAATATCGTTAAAGGATTCTGGGAACTCCTATAAAATAATCATCGCTGGTCAACGCTTAGTTATACTATTCTCAGACAAAAGCAAATTAGTTATTTTGCTTACCCAACCAAAAAAAACGTGAGCAGAAAGTAGGGTTCTATGCGTCTCATAGCCAGTGAGTCGGACTTAAGTCTGCACGTAAGGTGTAACTTTATGTGAACTACGAGAAAAACCCTACTTTACTTATGCTTAAATCTCCCCAATTCGGTACAATCGGATTGTCTGCACATACCGATACGTTGTCATGACGACTTAAAGATCGATAAGTGTGTTTTTCATTGCGACTGCAGGGTCTTATCCTAAGTCTGTTTAGAACACCTCGAAAGTGCACGGCCGGTTTCACCTTTATTGGGACTCCGAAGATAGATGAACATCAAGTTTCGGTCACCTTCATGTCCTCCTTAGATATCGCTTTGTACAAGATTGGCGAAATGCGTCCATTTGCAAATTAATTTGATGTTCGGAGCAATCAAAATACTTTCGAACAAACCCCTCGTTTATGGTACTTTTAAAGAGAAGGTGACCAACAGGGTCATTGTTTTCGTTCCTGCAACATTTGAGGCGACACTGTCTTGATAAGACGCACTGCCCTTAGGGTTGCTGAAAGGCAAAAAATTGATTTGCAAGTAAGTGAACATCAGTAGCGCAGTAGGAAACATGTTCTCTGAAAGTAAAAAATTGATTTGCAAGTAAGTGAACAACATCAGTAGCGCAGTAGGAAACATGTTCTAGGGAAACTTAAGAGGCTGCGACTTCTCAGTGAGTCCCACAAAGGGCGAACCCAGTGGTGGGCTGTCTGTGAGCTTTCAGCAACCTTGTGAACAGTGTGATTAGTCTATACCTCGAATTTCGTAACAGCTCAGACGGCGGTTGAGGCGGCTACACTTTAGCGCTGTTATCTGAGGGAGAGATTCATCCTGGGTTTAATTGAATCTCTCTTTAACACTAACATTATCTGCGAATGGATTTACTACACGACTAAAAATTATTATCACACAAATCCACTGACGATGTTTAAAAATGAATACAACTTTCCCCAAAAAATGCTCTGCTGGCTGGATTAATATAAAGTTTCTCTATGAAATTCTCCATGCCTTGTTTAACGAAAAATATAATGAACAATTTTCATTTTCTACTAGAAAAAGGTGCATAATTTTTATAGTGAGATAAATGCACAAATTTCCTGTTGCACAAAGATCTGTTAAACGGAGATCAGTTTACAATAGCCCGTATCCTTTGCATACAGAATGAAAAATTAGAGGTAATTAAAGTTTCATTGGCCTGAGGTTCATGGAATTGCCCCAGTAACAAGACGACGATAAACGACGTGGTGCACTCAGCAGGTCAAGCATAAATGTTAAATGCGTATATGAGTAACACCCAAATTTTCAGTACCTCAATTGAGAAAATAGATTTCATATGGTTATATTTTAGTATTATTGTTGATAAGGCACACTTATATCCTTACCGGTTCAAATTTCAGAAGGATAGACAAATAAACTGATAAATATA